TTCGAAAGTGGGGACTTTGAATCTGATAATATAAGTAATACATTAATGATATAAATAACAGTATAAAGTGCATCCTGTTTGACGCTGTTTCGGCTTGAAAATATTAGATTCTTCGCCTTGATGAATTAATCAAACGCTTATTTGAAGTATCTTATTGATTAATTTAATAATCAAGTAACCCCTAGTAACCCAAGATTGAGTTTAGGACATCATTAATCTCTCTCTGAGCGATCAAAGCTTCATTCGAAATCACTATTGCTAACACTAGCGCTATAAATAATCCCGATCGCTATTATATTCGGATGGATAAGCGCATTCCCTCATGATTTCGAATGCATTGTACGCTTGCTGAGGTATAATGATAAATCACAACGAGAGTTACAGGGACAACGGTGCGTTTTAAATCGACAGATACCGATATAATGGACGCAGAAATTAATACATTTCTTTCTCTATTTTTCTTTTTAAATAAGCCTCTCCCTCTCTCTCTCTCTCTCTCTCTCTCTCTCTCTCTCGCAGCACAAAGCGTCAGTTTTTCAAACAACAGCCTGAGCCGAAATCTTCTCCATGTATCGATGTCCCGCGGTATCATTGCTCCTCGATGCCTCCGGCGTCATTCGATACGATTCGGAATACGTTACACACAGACGGTACACGCGTGCAAATGTGTACCACCCTCTCTCGTCTGCCCCCTCCTCCCCTTCCTCCTCGTCGCATTTGCCGTCGCATACCCACGTTGTGCGTTCTGCAACGAAACAGTGCAAATCACAGCCGCGCGTACACAGCGATGCATGTCATAATGAAGCCCGGGCGACTTTTTGTTTCGGTCCCGTCGGCCGGAAATATCGGCCATTTTGAATTTTCAATTTTCAACGCTCTAGTAAGCCCCTTCGGGCCCCTCCTCCCTCGTCGTGTCCTCCTCCGCCCCCCTTCCTCCTCCTCCTGCTCTTCCTCCTCCTCCTCCTCCTCCACCTTCTGCCGTCTCTCCCTCGCCCTTTCATCCTCCCTTCCTCCCTTCCTCCCTTCCTGCGTCCCCTCCGCGTCGCGTCGAACGAAAGAGTGCACTCGTGCATTGTTACGTGTACGATCCCTTTTGGGATAAAATTTGGAAAGAGGGTCGCGAAAAATTTGGGTAGACACGCAGCAGCTTCCTCCTTTTTCGGAGGATCCTCTCTCACCTCTCGCTCTCTCTTTCTTCTCGGGTCCGCTCTCTTCCTCCCCCGCGCAAGAATCCATTTCGCGGGTGGACGATTTTTATGGCCGATAGCGGAAATAGGAGCGGTAATAGCGTCGGATTCGCGGGCTGATTTCAAGCGAGAGATGCCGGCGATGATATATTCGGGGAGGAGGGGAGATTAATCGCGCTTTCCTTCGCGTTAAAGCAGAGTAAACACGTTAACGTTAACGCAACGTGTTAACAGAACAATTGTTTCGCGGATTGTCTCGCAAAAAAAGCGATAGCGGAGGCATTTATAATAAATGTTCGAGGCAGATCGACGAGAATCTATCCTGGCAAATTTTCATACAAACTTAATTGACATATTTATTACATAATAAATATAAATACAATATATATAATAAATATAAATATATATAATAAATATAATAAATATAATAAATATAAAAAAATTAATATAAAATAAATATAAAATAATAATTAATAATTAATAAAATTAATAATAAATTATAAAATTTATAAAATTAATAAAATAAGTATAAAAAAATGTAGCAATATTTATCGACATACGTGTTCAAAAACTTGTAATGGAAATCGATTTTTTATTCTTTGAGTTTTTTATCTATTATTTGACTTTTAATTACGTGACTTTTAATACACGTATTATTTTTTGTTTCGATTTTAGAACACAAAGTTTGAGCGATCCACGAAGCTGTTTGCGGTCGCGATGATAAGTTTCGCGATAGATAAGTTTGTGAGATACTTACGTGAGCAATGGAGAGTCAAGATCCCCATTTATTTTCAATACGATGTATCGAAGGAGTATCGGCGAGTCACGCAGTGAAAAGTGGCGAGCGGAAAACGAGTCATTTACCGGGCGATTACTGTCAGCTCTCCGTACAATTGGCCGTTCTCCAGCTGTCAAATCATTTATTAACGAGAGTAAGATCGGCATCGATGATCTCGGGCTCTTGTAATTACAGATCGTCGATTGACGGACGTTCCGTTCCCCCTTTATCCCCCCCCCCCGAATCGATACAATGACGCGAGTAAAGACGCGCAGGTGTCGGACCCGGGGCCGACGGAAATTCATTCTCTCTCCTCGGACTCTCGCGGATAACGCATCGCGTGTTTTGCACATTAGTCGAATAGCTGTCCGACATCCAGAAGAGCTCTTGCAAAATTTATTTCTATCGATACTGACATCTCAGGAAACGTCATCAGCGACGCATCGCGTTGATTTAATGCGCGTTTCGACGGCGTTTTACTTTCGTTCTCGTGAAATGCACGGAGGAAATCACGTGAAGCATTATTTCACGCAACGTTGAGATTAAGATTAACACGTTCCATATCATTTGCATAGTTCTTTTTGCAACATGTACTGTGTAATATTTATAAAACTTGCAAATCAAGAAAATAATGTAATGTTTGAAAGAATGTAATGCTTTATACGGGACAAGAAAGTAAAAGAAACAAATCTGATTTTTAAAAGAAAAAGTCATCTGATTATGATTATTGTTAGATGGATACAGATATGCATGCATATATTTGAATATGCTATATATATTTTATTTTTTTCTTTATATATATATTTTCTGTATTTCGTTTAATATTTATTTAGTATTGTTTCCTTTATTTTATTTAACGAATAAATATCATCATATTTAAAGAGATATTTAAAGGGATATTTAATAAGAATTGGGATATGGATATTTAAAGAGATTTAAGAAAAAAGATATTGAATAAAAATTGATATATTTTATAAAAGGGATGTTTAATAAAAATTGGGATATTGATATTTAAAGGGATATTTAATAACAATTGGACTATTTTATAAAAGGAATATTTAATAAAAATTGGGACATGGATAAAGGGATATTTAATAAAAGGGATGTTTAATAAAAATTGAAATATGGATATTTAAAGGGATATTTAATAAATATCGTTCTTTGATTATATATTACTATAACGTGTGATAAAATGCTTGTGATATGACAATGAATAATCTTGACATATAAAACTTGAGACAGAAATTAAAAAACTAGATCATGTGGTGACTTGGGGGCAATTTACATGATTTTAAAAAATATCTTATAATAATATTACATTGTTTAAATAGAGGGAAAATATCAAATTATAATATGAACGAAATTGGGGCAATTTGTGCGACAATAAACATGTTAAAAACAACGTTTCATTCTTCGAAAGAAATCGTCATGAATCATCAATGAGAAAAAAAGGTGTAATCTGCGGAGAGTGAGAATCTATTAAGCTCGTGTCTAGTTTTCCCGTCAAGGAATGTAATAATAATAGGTTGATTGATATCGCGATTATGGATCGCTGATTATATTTCTTGTATTATATTTCTTGTATTTCACATTTAATGAATAAATCTCGTCGCATAATTCTTCGATATATATTAATAGTACAATTGATACTTAAGGATCGATATTTGATTCATAAAATATGATAATACTACATTTTTTTAAATAGCTTTTGTTAGAGCGACGTGTCAATTAACATTTTCTTGACATATAAAAGTTTAAAAAATTAGATTGCACGTGATAACTGATATTTAGGAATCAAAATATGATTATAAAATATAACAATATTTTTATTATATTTTTAATTAATTTTTAATTATATTTATTACATTTTTAATTAATAACTTAAATAATTTATTATAAATTTAATTATATTTTTAATTATTTAAATAACTTTTGTGTGTTGGAGCGACATGTCAATTAACACTCTTGACATACGAATTAAATTTTTGACATATAAATTTAATTTAGCGATGCTGGGCATCAATACATGATTTACAGAATACGATGAAATTACACCTTTAAATTAAATATCAAATTATGGAAAGTGGGGTCGATCCAGAGAACGCGTTTCCTTAAAAGAAATCATCGTGAATCATTGTCGAGAAAAAGGAGAGGGAATCTATTAAGCGCGTCGTTTTCCGAGTAATGTAATAATAACGGTCCGATCAGTATCGCGATTATGGATCGCCGATTGACAGAGGGTCGTTAGACACGATCGGAGACGCGCGTGCGGCGCCGCGCCGACGCACAGGTGTAAACCCCGGTTAACGACACCTGGCTGCGGGAGAGGAGCGCTCCAGACCGAGAAATTATGGCGCGAGTCGCCGCGCGCGTAATATTTATTGCGCGCGCGAGTCTATTATCGTCGTGTAATTTATTCCTCGTCTCTCTTTTTTTTCTGGCGCGCGCTAATCGCGCGATATCTGTATCGATTATGCGGTGTTTTCTCTCGCTTGCCGCTTGTCTTTCCGATGGCACGTATTATCGAGAAACCTGCGAGATTTCTCCAAGTCTTACTTCGATATGGAAAACGACGCACGACTTGATTCCGATTATTTGATCGATAGGATCGATGGCAGCTTTTTCATTTAATTTCTTAAGATTATTATTTCGATTATTTGAAATTAAAAATAGAGATGGTGCAATATATTCTTTAATTATACTGAGGGAAAAATTCTTTTAAATCCAATAAATTTATTTTTTCCTCAAACTTTTGCTTCGAATGGAAGGAATTATTTATTTCATTTAAGCAAAGGCATTTAATTTTAATTAAATACATATTATATTGAGTACATTATTTTTATAGTAAATTAAAAAAATTAGATAAATAAATAAATCAATAAAAATAAGAGTAACATCATCTGAAGATAAAAATCGAAATAAAATTAATAGAGATAAAATTAAATTAAATTAAAAATAAATTCCCTGGACAACTTTGCTATAAATCATTGATTTCTTAAAATTGCTAAATACATGTCTAAAATTTCTGATTCCAGATATTCTGATTCGTCAGGAACGGACCTGAGACAGCCGACATATCCGGAAGGAGTACGAAATTGAAGAGATTTCTGCGCTAGTCGTCTCTTGGTAAACGAGATAGCGGCCATGCGACAAAGAACACGTCGGGGAATTATACTTGTTCGACGGACTACTCAATTTCCTGTCTGCGAAATGACTCGGCGGATTCGATTCTTTCCGAGAGATTCAACTCGTTTTCATCATTGCTGGTGAGCGTCAATAGAAGCGAGGTATTATATTGGATAAGGCGTATTTTCTGGAGCCAAATGACATTTTCAATGCAGCTCCAAAGTTACTTTACTCCCGAAGCAAAATTGTGGAATCATAAATGTTGATCTAGTAGCATTTTTATTTTTTGCAATATATATTTTGCACTTTATTGTTATATTTTATTATGATAAAAGAGTATCTAGAAAATGGAAATAGGTACAGATGAAGGATCATTTATTTATATTTATTTACGGGACATTTTTTAATTTATTTGCTGAATATTACTTTTTTGAGAACTTTAATTCACACAATTTTACAACTCGAGATATAAAGATGGGAAAATGGGAATTTAGAAACTCGTTTACGCGAATTTTAAGCTGCTTCCGGCCGATTTAATGGAATTTCATTGTTCAAACTACGACAGAAAATTCGAGTTAGTTTTGGGTGAAGCAAAAATTCTCGCGGTTGGAAAACGCGAGATTGAAAAGAGCCTCATCAATTAATGGCTACTGAGATAAACTTACGAGTTATATAAAGATGCATGGAAATTGTTTCATTTTCATAATAAATCCTCAAGAAAAATTCTAAAATAATAATTGACGCAAATTATTATAATCGAATTGAATTAAATCCCCCTAAATTTATCGATTATATTTCGAGGCAAAAACGTCAAATATCCTCGTTGTACGTTTCTTCTATCCCAAGGGAACGAAACAACTTTAAATTTGATTGCTGAAGCGACGGAAAGTCTCTTGATCAGATTTACACGAATTTCGATTTTTGGCTTATCTCGCTTTTAAATATCGCGATCATCGCGTCTCTCGTCGACGAGAGATGAAAATCTGCGAGTGCCTCCTGCATCTGACGCTGTCGGGCTTTTCATTCAATTGCCACGACTCGATAGGCCCCATGTGACGTTTCTCTTTGTGCGAGGAAAAGCTTCGCGAGCTTTGCGTTTGACGTGCGCGTCACTCGTCGCCTATCAATCGAGGCTTTGAAACGCACGCTGTCGATTCTCCCCCGCCCGATTATGCGGGAAAATTTTTGCGGAAAACGCTCGCGCGCGTGCGAGAGAGAGAGAGAGAGAGAGAAAAAGAGAGAGAGAGAGAGAGAGAAAACAGCTGAAAAAAAAGTTTACGTCTGGAAAAAAAATCAAGATCGTTTATAAAAAGTCGCAATATTCGTTATTACACTGAAAAAAGGATTTAGTAGTAAACACTAGAATTTAATAACAATTACTAAATGATTTGGGCAAATAGTTCTAATTAAATGTGTGGTAACAATTACAAAAAAAATTAATTGAGTAAATAAAATATATTCAGTTTAGACTACTTAAATTTAATTCATTCAATTACAAATTTGATTCGTTTAACAAAACTTTAATAACTGTAATCAAATTTTGGTAGCAGAAAATAATATATTTAATAAGTATTATCAGATATTTGGTAATTTTAACTAAATCATGAGAGCGAGAAATTAAAAAATTAAAATTAAAATTAATTAAAATCAAATTTTTTTATTATTATTTTTTTATTTATAATTTATACTTGCGTATTGCACTTTACATTTTAAATAGATAATGAACGGATTATTTTTGTTTATTTGCCGAACATTTACTTATCCAACTTATAAAATCAATCTAATATCTGAAACTCTTGTATTGAGAAATCAGAAATTAAATTGAACAATATATTTTTAATCTTATTTGTTACTCTTTGCAAACTTTATATAATTCTCATAACTAAGCTTAAATGCGAGAAAGATAGCACATTTCGCATAGCGATGAACGAACAAACCAACATATCCTTGCGTGCTTGCGCGAAACTTTACACGACTATCTTATCAAAATTTGTTAACAATTACCAATTATTTTATCAAACATGTTGACCTAACTAAATCATTTAATAATAGTTATCAAATATCTAATAATCTTAAATTGAATGATTTAGTAATATTTACAACAATTTAATACACATTTAATAACAATCATCAAAGATTTTATGATAAGTATTAAATATTTAATAATTATTAAATTGTTTAATCGATTCAATTGCAAACAAAATTTGTTTGCAACCAGATCAATTGAAGATTTAGTAATTATTATCAAATATGGTAATATTTATCAAATATTCAATTAAAATTCACAACTAAATATATTTGATAATTATTACCAATCAGTTTTTTCAGTGTATACATTCACTGGCAATAAACGCTACTCGCCACCCCCCCCTTCTTACCCCGAGAATTATCGCGGATCGCGGGAAAAGAATCGCGGCCGATATAATTCCCCCGGAAAACAGCGATAATTTTTCTCCGAGTAATTACAAAGTAAGAGAACCCGGTCGCGGGTTTCTCTCTCTCTTTCTCATCCACGAACGATCGCGATTCGCGATTATAACAAATGGCGCGGCGTTTTATCCCGGGCGAAATATATTGTACAAATCGCTACCTCTCCCCCTCCCCCCTCCCCCCTCCCCCCTCCCCCCGCACGTATCTTCCGGCACGCGCGAAATAAAAACGGCCGCGAGACGTGTGTTCGGCCACGTCACCAGATAATCGTGAATTATCTACGGGCCGACAGAACGAACGCGGATGGAGAACCCGCCGCGGCTCTCGCGTGCGCGCGCCAACTTATCTAGATGATTATCTGCGCCGCTTTATCGGTAATTTATCTGGGCAGGCATTAGTTTTTGCTTGACGATGGCGTGCACCCCAGGCCAGCCTTCGCCTGGGCCTAAATTATTCATTATATGGAGCAATCCCCGTGTATATGCGCGTATACACGTGTACGAGTCGCCCCGCGTCTCTCTCTCTCTCTCTCTCTCTCTCTCTCTCTCTCTCTCTCTCTCTCTCTCTCAAAGCCTGCACTTGTCCTTACGGAGGTCTGACGTTTATTAATTGCGCCGGCCAATCACGACCGCTCCCGCGGCTCGGACAATCGATCGATCGTCCACCGCTGACGTAATAAAAGTCCTAATAAATACCTTGTTATTCTCCAGGAACAAAGCTGCCGGCCATTTTTACGCTTATCCTACATATCATTTTTTTTATATAAATCACAATGTATGATTATTATCAAAATAGACACATTAAATTTTTTTTTAAATTTATACTTAAAAATTCTTTTTTTTTAATTTATATTTAAATTAGATTTATATAAATATCATAAAATTGATTGAAATATCTTTATTAAATAATTATTTTATTATTTTATTAATATTTCATATCAAGTTTGCTTAAATCTTTTAGCTCTTTTTTATTTTATTTTAAATATTTATTCAACAGATCTTGATAACAAAAATATGATAAATTAAACTTGATTCATTGACGGGGTAATCTAATAGTTTATCATAAAAAGCAACGATTCGCTGTAAATTTTCGAGTAGAATAAAATAATCGAGAATTAAGTTCCTCATCATCGATGAAGCTTAAATAACTTTAATCGTTTGTTTTTTAGCATCACGAAGTTAAGATCGTCCTCTTTTCGCGCGGACGGTTTAACGAGACGCGAACGACCTAGAATACCGTGTTTGCGACGACGAGGATGTGATGGTAACGCGTACACACGCACTCGTGGGCCGTGGACGCCCTCGTAAAAGAAATATATCGCTCCCATGATCTACCGGCGTCGCGGAAGATAATTATTCACGTTTAGATAACGAACGGCCGGCGATGATATCGAGCGGAGACGTCCATTAGCGGGGCTAAGCGTCGGCTTGGGCAGAGGTGTATCTATTTATCATCAGATAACGGCCGGGAATTATCTCGAAAACTCGACTTGTATATATAGCTGGATCGCTCGCGTGCTACCCCCCTTCTGCTCCTCGCTCAAGATCTCATTTTTAGAAGATCCCGTTTTTACGGTGCGTTATTAATTGAATATCTATTCTTTGATAGCTGTAACGTTGAAGATCGCGATGAATATTCGACGTTCAAAATTGATGTGCTCGCAGAAAACTTTGGAAATTATTATTATTTGTTTGTCTGATGAAATGGACGATAACTTTTTGGTCGTTTTAGAAATAATCAGATTGCGAAGTTCATTATCAATTAAAAAATGTTAATCAATGACTCATTAGTTACAGACGCTGATTCTGTTAGTTTGATAATAATAACGATGGCTTGAATCTAATTTGAAAATAAATTTTGTTTTAAATGAGAAATATTAAAAATAATGAATGCAAGAAGTGAAAGATTTATTAATAAATAATAAATAAATTTCTATTCAGAATTAAATTTATATTTGTTTGAATTAATCTTTATTTTGATTAGTATCTCTCAGAATTTGTTCGAGTAAAATTCTTGTTTAGAATGCAACTGTGCATTAGAAGAAGTGAAATATATCCATAATTTATTAAATAATTCTTTTTATTTTTAGAAAATTATTTTTGGATAAAAGATCAATTATTGAATCGTTTGTCGTTGAATAAGAAATTTTTTTTATAAAATAAAATATATTAAAATAAATTATATAATTATAAATTGAAAGATCTCTCTTAAAATTTTTTTTTATCAAACATTGTTCATTTCTTAAAAATCCCTTTCTTTCAGATTTTCATTTTGAGGAAAATTGTTATTCAAATGAAAAATTTACTCCCTTTATTATAAAAATAATTACAAAATAATGAATAATTAATAGATTTAATAAATATAAATATAAAAATAATTAAAATACAATATAAATAAAAATAATTCGTTATTTGTAATTAAAACGCATAATATTAATTTATCCGTAAGACTGAAGAAAATTTATTAGAATAATGTTTAACTTTGGTTGCTGATATTTAGATTAAGAAAGAAAAAAATATGTTACATTGATATTGATCGAGATCGTTAATTAAGCGGATTTTTCTCGTTTTCTCTCAAAAGGAGACGCGCTTAAACATAAAGAATCAACACCTTGTCTTCTTCGGGGAAAGCTTAAGAGTTCCTCTTGTCGCGCGTCCCGCCCCTTCCTTTCTTTCTTTTTGCACATCAAGCTGTTTCCCAAATTCCGAAC